GAAAGCCACGGTTCAGCGGCACGGCGAGGTCCGTGTCACAACGCTGCGCAGCCAGCCCCTCTTTCTCAGAAAAGCCAACTCTCAGGCCACAAGCACGAGAGGCAGGCGCTGGGCCGGCGGCTGTGAGACGGAGCCATTCATAATTCAAGCCATAACGCACCCAGCAGTACTTTGTCCGATGCGCTCCCTGCTTTCCTCGGCAGTTTTCCTTCAAGTAGGCGACACGGCAAAGATTCAGGGCTGCGCACTCGTTCCCGTGTTTCTTGGTGCCCACACATCGTGTGGACAGCACACTCTCATATTAACTGCTGAGGAAGGCTGTTCGGGGAGCCAAGCCTCCGAATGAGAAGGTGCAGAAACAACCACAGCACTTTCGGTGAAGACACTAACGCAGGCAGGGTATTCCTGTCGCGGCAGGTATCACCCCGCATCACCAAACTCCATCTTCATTTGTCTGTGTACTACGGCCCATCTATTACCAGCATCACTACTGCCAACTTAGGTGATTAAAAAAAGTTGTTTTTTTTAAAAAAAGAGGATGCATTATTAGCTGAATTCTACATTATTTCCCGGAAGGGCATACACGTTGCTGATTTTTGATATTCTTTATCTACAGGGGGACAGCGGCGGCCCTCTAGCGTGCTATCACCTGAGTACCAACAGGTACTACCTCCTAGGGATTGCCAGCTTCGGATTCGGCTGTGCCCGACCAAAGTTTCCGGGGATCTACGTCCGTTTATCTCCGTACAGACGATGGATAGAATCTGAACTTCTGCTGAGTAAGGCGGCCGCGGGGCCCAGGAGCGTGACCCTGACCATCCCTCTGACCGTGCTGTGTGCAGTACTTGCGCAGGCGTTCTGAGGCGACAAACCGCCGTCTGCTCACGGGAGCAGCCTTGGTCTGCCTGTTCAAGCTGTGAAAAGAGAGAGCGCTCCCGTTTCAGAATAAATCGAAGAGCAAAAGGACATTACGCTTACCTTTTTGTTTTCTGCCTGTGACACCCATACTAACAGCAGGAGAATGGTAACAACCTTGACCCTAACAACGAAACTGAATAGAGAAATGTTACCAACTGAAAATACATTTTTCCTACCCCATTCCTGCGTCGTTCCAGCAATAGTAGCACAGTGCTGTAGATGGCAGAGACGCTCCCTCTGCTGGGTGAATACCAGAGGAGCACAAAAGGGTTTCAGCTAACAGTGATTCAGCTCACTGCAAACTAAAAAGGAAAAAAAAAATGCAGAAAAGGTGTTCTCCACTGATTATTTTTAGCAATGACTAAAATTTATGCACTTCGTACTCCGACTGCTGAAAGGACACGCCAGATAGAAGATCTCTGGGGGCTCTTTCTTTGACCAAATGTTTATTCTTGGCCGCTGTGAAAGACCCGATGCCACACAACATGTGCACGCTGGTCAGAACCACTGCCGTACTCCATCAATTAAAAACAAAGAAGGAACATCAGAATTATATTTTGGCGACTTTATTTACCAAGGTCAAAATTTGCAACCATCTAATTGTTTCAACAAGTATTTACAATTCATATAAAGCATGTACTTCTGTTTGCAAATCACCAGCAGAACGGTATTAGGTACTATGTCTCTTACTCTCAGGATATAGCTTTTATTCTCTTACAGTCTAGGTTTTGAAGTAAATCCAAAATAAGTACTTCATGATAAGTGATTACTTAAAGAGCGAACTCATGTTACTGTTTAATAGTTCCATGACAAAAAAGAAGCTGCTCTTTCCAAAACGCTATTTTAAGAGGATAAAAATTTACTAACTACATTTGTTTCACTTGCTGAATACAGAAAGAATTGGCCACCTTTTTGTTTTTTCTTTTACAGTCTTAACACTTGGTAGCTTTTTAAATTATTATTCCGTATTACAAAAGAAGGTAAAGGAACAACAGCACACAGTGAGGATCAAAATACCACACAGAGGAGTTACCAAATTAGTTTCAGTACTGGAGGCCAAGCCCTCTGACACACAGCCAGCTCGCGCACGCGCGCTGACGGGAGACAGCGTGAGCAGGCCCAGCTCCCCGAGGGGCTGCGCTCGCCCCACGGTGTTCGTTTTTCCTGAAATTCCACGTACAGAACAAGGAGGCCCCAAACCCCTCTCCTGGAGCCGCTGCCTCACGTAGCGACTGGCTCGACCTCGGTCGTTATTTCTGATGTGCAACAAAAGCACTCTTTTTTGACATGATCGCAAACAGAAATGTAGACTGCAGTTTGGCCTAAAGGAAACGTAGCGTGGATCATGTCTGGAACAATCAAGTATTCAGAAACTTCAGGAAAAAAAGATATTTTTATAGCCCACTAACAACATGATTGTGGAATGCAGTCTTTCTCCTACCATTTGCAAAGAGCTCTGATTGCTAAGAAGTCCATTAATTCAAAAATGAGTAAAATAAAAAATACTGACTGACCATATGATAAGCATTACACATCTAGGGAGTGAGTACACCTTTGAATTTCATTCAGATCTGAGCCAGCACAACACACACAGGCAGCTCTAACACCTTTGTAATAGCGTAGTCCATAGTGCAATTCCCGCTGACATAACTGGAAGCAGGATTCAGTCCTAACTATGGAAAATAGTGTATTTATTATTCATGCAATAAGCACTGCATACACATTTCTCTATTTCACAGAATCACAGAATCACAAAATGGTTGAGGCTGGACGGGACGCTGGAGGTCCCCTCGCCCGACCCCCCTGCTCAGACGGGGTCACCTGGAGCAGGCTGCCCAGAACCACGTCCAGACGGCTTCTGAGTTCTCTCCAAGAATGGAGCCCCCGCACCCAAGAGAGTCCTGATCATGGCAAACATTGAATTTTCACCTGAAACAACTTAAAATCATACAACCTAGAATCTCTGATAACGATCAGATCTAATGTGCAGATAATGTCACCTGTGGGGAATAAAAAGCCCTGATCTCTCTCTTTTTTGTTTTTTTTTCCTTTTTTTCCCAATATTCTTTAGGATCCACTTTTTTTGAAAGTTGCCTGCAGACATACAAAATCAATTCAAATATCCCCTACACCAAAGAGGATCTCATTTAACTTCGTACTATCCATAAAAATATAGGCTTGAAAATCTGGTTCACAAAATATTTCATTTGTTTACTAAAATGAAATATATAAACTGTCAAAATACGTATATAAACTCAATTTCAGAATTTGTAAAGATCACAATTGAGCTACAAAATATACCAACCATCTACCTGTTTTCAATAGAATATTTTCTTACAAAGATACCATTACTTTGCAAAATATCACCTACCTTACAAAATTAGTCTGGAAATTTTGCACTACTTTCAGCATACAAACCATGTATTAGAACCTCATGAACCCTTTGGTATAGATCTTCAATTTTGATTGGATTGGTCGCCTCCTATTTGGTTTCAACGTTCCAAAGCCCAGTGGAATCTCCAGACAGAACAAGCAATGCAAGTGTAATTGTATATAGAATCAGCACACAAATTATTTTTCAATTATAGATGTTTATCATGCCCAGCAACTAAGAACAAACTACTGTGAAATCATTCTCCAGAAACTTTTCTTCACACCGCACCTGAAGATCACTGGATGGGTTGAATTCTCTTAGGAGAAGTCAACACCTTCTTCCACGTGCCTCCGCCATTTCCAGGACTAGGCCTCTCGCTGCTCTCTGCCGATCCTTTCCAAACCCCACAAACACAGCAAACATGGAAAAAAAAACCCAACCCCAACTTTTTAAGCTGTCAGCTGAGAAAGAGTAAACATAATTTATACCTCTAGCAAAGTATTAGCTTCTTGTATCATCTGCACCTGTAAGTAACAACTTACAGGTTAAGATAAAAATATTTACATACAAATAACTGAAAGAAAAAGTAAGGATTGAAAAAGAGTAAGAAATCAAAACATATACTGGTTATAAATGTTGCTAATAATGTCACAACTATGGCAAGGATTCCATTTCAGCCACATTTTAACTGTAACCAAACACTACCTCCGTCACAAGAGGTATCTGTAGAAATTTTCAAAGAAATTCTGATCACCTGCCTCGTAAAACGTGACTGTCCTTCTATTGCAGATGCAGTCTTGACTTTATAAAGTTTCCAGTTGTGCCAGCA